GGGGCCAGGGCAGAAACTCTTGAAGACCCCCTTCTTCAAAGAGCATCTCCTACCCTAATCTACCACTGACTCTACCTCTATCTCCAGGGAGGGGGTGAGGAGGGGGGCGGGGCCTGATTGAGGAGAATGGGTGAGGTGGGGGTGGGGCCAAAGAGGGGGCGGGGCCAGGGCATTATGGAGGAGCAGGGGTGAGGAGGGGGCGGGGCTATGGAGGAGGGGGGTGTGGTCTGGGAGGAGGGGGCGGGGCCAGAGCATGATGGAGGAAAAGGGGTGAGGAGGGGGCGGGGCTATGGAGGAGGGGGCGGGGCATGATGGAGGAGGGGGCGGGGCCAGGGCAAGAAACTCTTTAAGACCCCCCTCTTCAAAGAGCATCTCTTATCATAATTCTAACCTGTACCAATACCTCCCCACAGCTCCTTCTGTAGTCCCTCTACCTCTACCTGTATCTGTATCTCTACCTCTACGTCTATCTCTATCTCTACCTCTTCCTCTATCTAAGAGGACTGGGTATCAATCAGAAACTTCTGATTCCTAACGATACTATAAGATAGCAGAAAGCTGATAACACATTTTACAAAACCTCTGTTTTGTTTTTCAGCTTTCAGAGTTTTCCTCTCCAAGAAGGTTTCTGACGGAGAAAATAAGTGTGAAGACTCAATGATTTTTTTTAAGGTGTCAGCTTATCAAACATGTCATTTATAATCATAGGGAAATGTTGCTTCACAAATACAATCGAAAAATTGCCCAGCCCTACTTTAAAGTCCCCAAAACGGCTTTAAAAGCCCCAAAAAACAGTTTTAAACCCCCAAAACAGCTTCGGAATCCCTAAAAACGGCTTTAAAAGCGTCTCCTGGGCAGCGTTTTCTCTTCATTCCTGTTCGGAACGTCTCGTTTATAATCAGAGAGAAATTTTACATCGCAAATAAAATTGAAACCAAATAATCACCCAGCTCTCAAAAAAGTTTTAAAAGCCCCCAAAAACAGTTTTAAGCTCCCAAAACAGTTTTAACCCCCCAAAAAAACAGCTTTAAAAGCCCCAAAAAACAGTTTTAAGCCCCAAAAAAACAGCTTTAAAAGCCCCAAAAAACAATTTTAAGCCCCAAAAAAACAGCTTTAAATGTTCCCCCCCAAAATGGATGGGAGGGACAGTTGATTAACTCCTTAAATGATTGATTGATTGGTTGAATTCCCCTGTCTGACGGCTGTCCCCGGGCAGGTACTCGGTGGAGGAGATCGAGGAGAAGGTGAGCAGCTTCAGGATGATGCTGCAGGAGAAGGAGGAGCCCCCGCCGGCCAGCGGACAGAAAACATCGTGAGTCCGCCGCCGCCAGAGGGCCTTTAGACCTTTAGAGGGCCTTTAGACCTTTAGAGGGCCGCCAGAGGCCTTTAGGGGGCCTATAAAGGCCTTTAGAGGACCCCCAGAGGCCTTTAGAGGGTCTTCAGACCTTTAGAGGGCCTATAAAGGCCTTTAGAGGGTCTTCAGACCTTTAGAGGGCCTATAAAGGCCTTTAGAGGGTCTTCAGACCTTTAGAGGGCCTATAGAGGCCTTTAGAGGGTCTTCAGACCTTTAGAGGGCCTATAAAGGCCTTTAGACCTTTAGGGGGCCTATAAAGGCCTTTAGAGGCCAGAGGACCTTTAGAGGGCCTATAAAGGCCTTTAGAGATCTTTAGGGGGCCTATAAAGGCCTTTAGAGGACCTTAAGGCCTTTAGAGGACCCTTAGAGGCCTTAGAGGGCCTTTAGACCTTTAGAGGGCCGCCAGAGACCTTTAGAGGACCTTTAGAGTTCCAGGATATTTTTTCTTATGACTTCAACGTATGTTGGAAATTTATTTTGGGTGTAGAGTTGAATATTTGATCAAATTTCCCTTCGTATGTTGGAGAATCCGTCTGTTTAGGGATCAGAGTATCAGAGTTCTGCTGTATTCTGTATCTAGTGGCTCCCATATAAATCTATCAGTCAGAGGGGGAAACTTCTGGAACAGCCTCCCAACAAACATCAGGGAAGGTCCCACTTTTTACACATTTAAAAAGCATTGTAAACTGTTTCTCAAAAGTTCCCAGTCATGCACTCACTAATTTTAATTTTGTAATGTCATTGTCTGAACGTGTGTTTGGACTGATTTTGTATTGTGTGATTTTGTGTTGTTTTGTCTTCCTGCCTCAGGACCACAGATGTAAATTAGCAACTATGCTAGAATCTGGCTAATTTACAATCTGTATGAGATTGTTCATTAATGCGCACTGTCCTGATTAAATAGATAAATAAAGCAGTACTAATGTTCTGCTGTAGACCCTGAACCTCCCTAGCTTCCTGGGGTCCAGCCTGACCCCCCTGACCCCCCGGTGTGTTTCCCCTGAGGGTAACGGAGACCCACGCGCTGGCGGCCCCAATGTCATTGTCTGAACGTGTGTTTGGACTGATTTTGTATTGTGTGATTTTGTGTTGTTTGGTCTTCCTGCCTCAGGACTACAGATGTAAACTAGCAACTATGCTAGAATCTGGCTCATTCACAATCTGTATGGGATTGTTCATTAATGTGCACTGTCCTGATTAAATAGATAAATAAAGCAGTACTAATGTTCTGCTGTAGACTCCAAACCTCCCTAGCTTGTGTTGTTTGGTCTTCCTGCCTCAGGACCACAGATGTAAACTAGCAACTATGCTATAATCTGGCTCATTCACAATCTGTATGAGATTGTTCATTAATGTGCACTGTCCTGATTAAATAGATAAATAAAGCAGTACTAAGGTTCTGTATTTTGTGATTTTGTGTTGTTTTGTCTTCCTGTCTCAGGACTACAGATGCAAATTAGCAACTATGCTAGAATGTGCACTGTCCTGATTAAATGGATAAATAAAGCAGTACTAATGTTCTGCAGTAGACTCCAAACCTCCCTAGCTTGTGTTGTTTGGTCTTCCTGCCTCAGGACCACAGATTAGCAACTATGCTATAATCTGGCTCATTTACAATCTGTATGAGATTTTTCATTAATGTGCACTGTCCTGATTAAATAGATAAATAAAGCAGTACTTAGGTTCTGCTTTAGACCCTAAACCTCCCTAGATTCCTGGGGTCCAGCCTGACCCCCCGGTGTGTTTCCCCTCAGGGTGACGGAGACCCACGCGCTGGCGGCCCCAATGTCATTGTTTGAACGTGTGTTTGGACTGATTTAGTATTTTGTGATTTTGTGTTTGGTCTTCCTGCCTCAGGACCACAGACGTAAACTAGCAACTATGCTAGAATCTGGCTCATTTACAATCTGTATGAGATTGTTCATTAATGTGCACTGTCCTGATTAAATAGATAAATAAAGTAGTGGTAATGTTCTGCAGTAGACTCCAAACCTCCCTAGGTTGTGTTGTTTGGTCTTCCTGCCTCAGGACCCCAGATGTGAATTAGCAACTATGCTATAATCTGGCTCATTTACAATCTGTATGAGATTGTTCATAATGTGCACTGTCCTGTTTAAATAGATAAATAAAGCAGTACTAATGTTCTGCAGTAGACTCCAAACCTCCCTAGTTTGTGTTGTTTGGTCTTCCTGCCTCAGGACCACAGATTAGCAACTATGCTAGAATCTGGCTCTGTGCACTGTCCTGATTAAATAGATAAATAAAGCAGTACTTAGGTTCTGCTGTAGACTCTAAACCTCCCTAGCTTCCTGGGGCCCAGCCTGACCCCCCTGACCAATGTGTTTCCCCTCAGGGTGACGGAGACCCACGCGCTGGCGGCCGCTAACCAGCAGAAGAACGACCGCCTGCGCGCCGCCTTCGGCATCTCCAGCGACTACGTGGACGGGTCCTCCTTCAGCGCCGACCGCAAGGAGAAGGAGAAGGAGCGCCGCGAGCAGGAGCGGCAGGAGCGCGAGCGCCAGCAGCTCAAATACACGTCAGTGCTCCCTTTTCCCGCGCTCCACAAAGGCCACGCGGCCTCTCAACCGGCCGGACCCGGTCAGGAACGGCCGAGGAAAACCAGAACCAGCCGGGAAAGAACCGAAACTGGCCAAAGGACTGGGAGTTTCTGTTTTTGGTCTTTATAGTTCCGGTTTTGGTCTTTATAGCTCCATTTTGGTCTTTTTGCTCCAGTTTTAGGATTTCTTTCCCCTTAGTTTTGGTCTTTATACTGTTGTTTTTAGATCTTTTTACTTCTGTTTTTGGTCTTCTTGAGTTCGTTTTGGTCTTTTCAAGTGTAATTTGGGGTCTTTCTAATTCTGTTTTTAGTCTTTATAGCTTGGTTTTGATCTTTTTACTCTGGTTTTTGTTATATTTGGCTCTGTTTTGGTATTTTTACTTCAGTTTTTTAGAATTTTTTGCTTCGTTCTGGCCTTTATACTGTTGTTTTAACGTCTTTTTACTTCTGTTCTTGGTCTTTATACCTCCAGTTTTTAAGATCCATTTAGGTATCTTTGGACCTGTTAGTTTGGATCTGTTAGGGTTGTATTGGATCTTTCTAAATCTATTTTTGGTCTTTATAGCTCTGTTTTGGTCTTTTTACTTCTGTTTTTAGTCTTTTTTTTTTTTGCTCCGTTTTGGTCTATATACTTCCGAGTTTTAAGATCCATTTAGTTATCCTTAGGGTTGTATTGGATCTTTTTAGCTCTTTCTTTGTCCTTTTAGTAAAGTTTTAGAACTTTTACATGTGGGTTCATGGATCCATTCAGGTTCTGACCCGCGTTGGGAACTCTGGGAAGGTTCCCACCTGAGACCGGGATGGTTTACAAAGTCTGGAGTTAAATAGAAAACACCCATAAAGTCGCCGTCTGACCTCGTTTCTGTTTTTCTCCCCGTCTCTCGGACAGTTTGGTGGAAGATTCAGACTCCAGTCCCGACTCTCCTCCCAAGAAACACGGCCGCAAGAAGAAAAAGAAAAACAAGGCCCGAGACAGGTGAGGCGACCGAACCGTTTGGCTCCTTAACTCATTGACTACCAAAGAAGTCTATAGAGGTCTTTAATGTTTTTTAACGAGAGTGTCTGGGGGGAGATCTGCTAAAGCTTGTCCGTAAATATGGGCTTCTAGACAGAGTATGTAGTAACAAATTGAGCCTCTAGGGGGCAGTGCCACTTTTGATGGGAGATGAGCATAGACTGTAGGCAAATAAGAAAAAGGGAACGGTTCTATGAGAGAACATGTCGCCGGTGAGACGCACGTCGAAGAAGAACGGAATAAGGTAGAAACACTTTTATTTTCCTGATGAAAGAAGAGAGTCTACTCTTTCATTTGGTGTGCTCGGTGTTTACATAGTCATAGCACAAACTATTCTGTGGCTCTGGAAAAATCAGTCAAAATGCTCAAAAAACTCTGGCAGTATGGGACTCTGTTCTGAAAATGGCTGCCAGTCAATGAGTTAAAAACGAGAGAAAAAGCTCTGCTCTGTCCCGCAGCAGCTCGGAGAGCCGCTCCCCGTCCCCCCACAAAGAGAAAAAGAAGTCCAAAAAGAAGAGGAAGAAACGGTACAGACCCCCAGACTCCCCTCCCTCCTTTCTGCCTGCGTCCTTCTGGCTTGTTGGAGGTTCCTAATCCCCCGTTTTGTGTTTTTCAGAGCGGCCTCGGTGGAGGACGACGGCAGGTAAAGGCCTTTTCTAATTCACAAAACCCACGGTTCGGTTAGGTTCACGGTTTCGTGGTCACGGTTTTAGGTTCCGTTCGGTTCGGTATACAGGACCGTCTCAGAAAATTAGAATATTGTGATAAAGTTCTTTATTTTCTGTAATGCAATTAAAAAACATGAAATGTCATACATTCTGCATTCATTACAAATCAACTGAAATATTGAAAGCCTTTTATTGTTTTAATATCGCTGATTATGGCGTACAGCTTAAGAAACCCAAATATCCTATCTCAAAATATTAGAATATCGGATTTTTGAGTTTTCTTCAGCTGGACGCCATAATCAGCGATATTAAAACAATAAAAGGCTTGCGATATTTCAGTTGATTTGTAATGAATCCAGAATGTATGACATTTCATGATTTTTAATTGCATTACAGAAAATAAAGAACCTCATCCCAATATTCTAATTTTCTGAGACAGTCCTGTATTATGTCTTGTATAGTCAGGTTAAAACTGACATTTGATCCATTATTGTGACAGTCTGAGGTTAAAAGTAGGTGAGATTCTGCCAGAGAGGAAACAGTGCTAATTCCAACACGTGCTTCATTTATTTGGCAAACAATCTTTTACAAAGAAGCATAGGCTCTATCAAAACTGGACTTAGGTCCCTTTGTTTGAATTTAACTCAAGATAAATTGACATGTTTCAATTCCCTGATTATCAAAACTCAGTTTGTTCTGCAGTGTTTGAAATACAATCAACCGAACGGTTCAGACGGTTTTCAGAAACCGTTCCATCCCTAGCCTTTACTAAGCGGAAGTTCCCGTTATTTATGAGTTCTGAGCTCGTCCCGCTCACGTTTTCCCTCCTCTCCTCCGTGTCCAGCTCCTCGGAGGAGAAGAGGAAGGTGTCCAAGAAGAAGAAGAGGAAGAGGAGCCAGAGTCTGACTCCCCCCAAAGCCAAGGCGGCCCGCCAGAGGAGCGCCTCCTCCAGCTCCGCCCACAGGTGGAAAACCCTGGACCAGGTCCAGATCAGGTCCAGGTCCAGATTAGGTCCAGGTCCAGATGACCAGGCCTGGATAAAGTCCAGGGGTCTGTGGACCCCCAAATGTGGTTCAGGTCCAGATTAGGACCAGGTCCAGATTAGGTCCAGGCCCAGATGACCAGGCCTGGATAAGGTCCAGGGGTCTGTGGACCCCCAGATTAGGTCCAGGTCCAGATGAGGTCCAGGTCCAGATGAAGACCAGGTCCATATGAGGTCCAGGTCCAGATGACCAGGCCTGGATAAGGTCCAGGGGTCTGTGGACCCCCAGATTAGGTCCAGGTCCAGATGAGGTCCAGGTCCAGATGAAGACCAGGTCCAGATTAGGACCAGGCCCAGATGACCAGGCCTGGATAAGGTCCAGGGGTTCTTTGGACCCCCAGATTAGGTCCAGGTCCAGATGAGGTCCAGGTCCAGATGAGGACCAGGTCCAGATTAGGTCCAGGTCCAGATGAACAGGCCTGGATAAGGTCCAGGGGTCTGTGGACCCCCAGATGTGGTTCAGGTCCAGATTAGGTCCAGATGAGGACCAAGTCCAGATGAGGTCCAGATTAAGACCAGGTCCAGGTCCAGATTAGGACCAGATCAGGTCCAGATATGGACCAGGTCCAGATTAGGACCAGGTCCAGATTAGGTCCAGGTCCAGATCAGGTCCAGGCCCAGATGACCAGGCCTGGATAAAGTCCAGGGGTCTGTGGACCCCCAGATTAGGTCCAGGTCCAGATATGGAACAGGTTCAGATATGAACCAGGCCCAGATTAGGTCAAGGTCCAGATTAGGTCCAGGTCCAGATCAGGTCCAGGCCCAGATGACCAGGCCTGGATAAGGTCCAGGGGTCTGTGGACCCCTAGATGTGGTTCAGGTCCAGATTAGGACCAGGTCCAGATCAGGTCCAGGCCCAGATGACCAGGCCTGGATAAGGTCCAGGGGTTCTTTGGACCCCCAGATTAGGTCCAGGTCCAGATCAGGTCCAGGTCCAGATTAGGACCAGGTCCAGATTAGGTCCAGGTCCAGATGTGGTTCAGGTCCAGATGTGGTTCAGGTCCAGATGAGGACCAGGTCCAGATGTGGTTCAGGTCCAGATGAGGACAAGTTCCAGATGAGGTCCAGGTCCAGATGTGGTTCAGGTCCAGATGAGAATGGGAAACAGAATTATTGGGTCCCACTTTTGGCCTTCAACTCCTTTAAGTGGACTCAGGGATGAGTTTTTCCCTCGGTGGCTTTTGGGTTCTGCTCCATCTTGGTTCCAACACTCAGAGACCCACAGAGTTTCCTCCAGAGGAGGATAGGAGGCTTCTGGTTCCTCCCTTTTGGAGTTTTTTCTTGCTGGGAACAGGTCCCAGGCAAAACCGAAACCTCTCTGAGGGATTCCGATCCCTTCTGGTCTTGGGATCCCCCAGGAGGAGGTTTAGGGGGTTTGGGTTTAACTCCTCAACCTTCGGCCAAATTTGACACTCAGTCTGTTTTATTGCTTTGTTTTTTCCCCCTAAAAGATGTAAAACCATCTCAGACCCAAAGAGTTGATAAAAAAAA